AGCAGCAGCAGCAGCAGCAGCAGCAGCAGCAGCAGCAGTAGCAGCAGCAGCAGCTGCGGCCCCCTCCCCGGGAAACCCGTGTACTCAACCCCGTCCCCAGTGGAAAACACCCCCCAGAATAATGAGTGCAAAATGGTGGATCTGAGGGGGGCCAAAGTGGCTTCCTTCACAGTGGAGGGCTGCGAGCTGATCTGCCTGCCCCAGGCTTTCGACCTGTTCCTGAAGCACTTGGTGGGGGGCTTGCACACGGTCTACACCAAGCTGAAGAGGTTGGAGATCACGCCGGTGGTGTGCAATGTGGAGCAGGTTCGCATCCTGAGGGGACTGGGCGCCATCCAGCCGGGAGTGAACCGCTGCAAACTCATCTCTAGGAAGGACTTCGAGACCCTCTACAATGACTGCACCAACGCCAGGTAAAGAACCGAGGGAACCTCCTGCCGCCCGGGCCGGCCCTTTCCCTCCCTCCTCTCTCCTTTCCCTAGCTCCCTTCCCTGCGCCGCCGGTTCCGCGCGCCGGAGAGCTGCGCACCCCAGCGAGCGCGACCCTCACCCCTCTGTTCCCTGGGCCCAACCGACCCCTAGGACAAGATAGCACCTCTCCAGGCCAGATCTAACTCTTCCGGCCGAGTCCTCCCTGATCTCCCTAGGGCGTTGGGACTCTGCTGCGGTGGCACTTGGGAACCCCAAGCCTTGGGATGGAGAGAATGGGATGCAGGAGGAAAGCATCCTTCCAGGAGTCAAAGCCCCTTCCCTTCCCGGGCGCGCTGACGACTGGCACCTCCCTTGGAACCACTGCCCCGCGTGTACACGCCCAGGACCCGGGTTCTACCCGGGGGCACTCTTGGGGAGAAGGGAGATCATCACCCCAGCCCCACTGGCTTCGAGAAGCTAGGAGAAGCGCTCCTGGCTAGGGGTTCTCTAGGAGCCAAGGGATTGGGCTGGCACCCCAGGCGTGCACGCACGTGAGGAGGGGGGCCGTACTCAAGAAGGCAAGAAGTCCGGGGGCCATCCCGGGAGTCATGCAGGGCGTTCATCTCTGTGCCCTAGGGAAACCTGGGGAGGGGAGGGGACAGTCAGTGTGTGTGCGCATGTGTGCGTGTGTCCACGTGTGAGTGAGTATGTGTAAAGGAAATAAAAGTACGTTTGCTCTGGGGCAGGTGTGAGGGCACCAGAAGATTTTGCTCAGGAGATGACCTGGTGCCTCAAGAAAGCTGAAATGGAGAGATGAGGAAGGAAGAACACAGATCGCTCACTCTCTTTCCAAAGTGCAATTTTCCCGTTCCATTTTTCTTTCTTCTTTTTCAGAGGTTAGTAGCTCAGGAAAAGAGCAGGTGCACGTTTTGTCCTGGGATGCTTTAGGGAGTTCCCGGCCTTCCCCAACCCGGTGAAGTGCGTGCACGGAGGTGGGGGGACTGTCCCCCGACAGACCAGTTTTATGCTAATGAATGCTCCTTGGGGGAGGATCTACCGAGAGGGGGCGGGAGTGGGGCAACTTGTCAGTTTCGGGGTAGAAATGATCATCCTACCCCCTGTATGGTTCCGCTTTGTCCCCAGTGCTCGCTTCTGGGAAGAGCCAAAGGAGAAGTTCAGAGGTTGTGGGACAAAGAAAGCAGGGAAGTTAGAGATCTGAAGCAGGCACTTGGGAATTAGGCACAAAAACTGAGAAGCAACTTTGATACCTTTAAAATAAGTTTTAATACTCAGAGAAGGAAAACAGGAGTTCTTAAGAAAGAGAAGGAAACTGAGAAGGAAAGGCCAGAAATGAGACCAGAAGGTGAATGGGGGTCAGAAAGCCATTAGCTAGTTCTTCCTTGGGGGGTGGGGGTGGGGGAGTCTTTCTTAGGGCCCAAGAAGGACAGGAAAAGGATAAGAACTCCACTTCAGCTAATTTCTTACCCCGACCTAACTAGAAATTATTTTCTTTGTTTGGGTTTCTTTCCACGGACCAAGGGTGATTTGAACCTTCAACAGACTCTCTCTCTTCTCCCCCCCCCCCCCCTGCGGGCAGGCACATGCTGGCTCCATATACAGACAGATGGCAGTAGGGATGGGTCAGCATCCTGACTACTAAATGTCATTTAGAAGATAATTGTCGTTTTTTTGGTGGCCCAGAAGATAAACTATTTGCCCAAAATCTATCCTAAAATCTAGCTGAAGCAAGGGAAAAGTCTGTTCTCAAGTTGTTATGAACAACGAAAGGTAAAATTGGAAGTCAGTTCAGATAGGATTGTCATAAAATTTACTAAACTGACAAATTGAAATGCTTTTTTTTCTCTTTACTAATAGAACATCCTACTCTTCCGCCAGTCTTCTTTGTGGGTTTCTTAAGGAACACATTATACAGGGTAGTCAATGATCATTTCACAGAAGTCTAACACACACACACACACACACACACAACTGCTTGAGAAAATTTTCTTCAATGACTGCATGTTATAATCAATGTAAAACTCAGTCTTTTTTGTTTTCTAAATATTGGCCAAGCCCTTAAGTTGAAGTCCTCATCATATAGTTGGAGGATAGTCCTGAAGTTACCAGTTTTTAAAAAGTTTTCTTTTCACTGCCTCTGCTTCTTGCCCTCCTTCACTCCTTCATCTTCTCTTTCTTATTCTTCTCCTCCTCCCTTCTTTTTTTCTTCCCCTAAGATTCTCAATAGCTCTAGAGTCCAAGCTTACAGGACCAAAGATAAGTTAAACCTTGGGGAACTGTGTATCATATCTCAGCACCATTCTAATTATTACACTTCACTTGGCCTTCATGATTAAATAGCTTTACAATTCTCTTTCAACTTATTCTAAAGTATGGGAAGTATTGATTTACTACTGAGTTTTGATTTTGTATCAACTAACAAGTGTGCTCACCTTAAATACATGAAAATACTGCAGTCATTAACCTGAGAAGACATAAGCAAATATCTACTTAAGTTTTCCTAATTCTACCCTGGCTAAGGAAGTAGAAAATTTGTAATTAAACATTCTTGCACCAAATACACAGTTTGCATTGTCAAGCATTTCTGTTTTTAATGGTAATTATAAGTAGTATTACTTTCATTTATTTTGAAAACAATAGCCTAAATGATTTGCATCTTGATGTCGAAAAGCTAAAATTACTTTGCCATTTAAATCCAGTTTATGCCTTTGCTGCTAGGATTCCTTTTTTATTTACCTGGATATTCAGATTTATTTTACCCTAGTTTCTCTCTAGCCCAGCTACTTAACAGACCTAGGGAAAAATTTATGCATAGTATCAGCAAAAATGTATAAGAAGTATATAAAATTACCTGTACATATTTACCTACATATATACATGTGTGCTGTGTGTGTATGCATAATGTGTGTGTGAAACATCAAATCTTAACACACTCAGAAGCTTCTGAGTCTAATGAAGAATCTTAGCGATATTTAATTATCAAGTTATCTGTGGAACAAAGATGATACTAAAGAAAAGAAACCTTAATAAACTTGTTCAGAGGTGACTCATTAACTTAGTGGCAAACCTTAGAGTTAATTTTATTTGCTTGGGGCTATTGTATTAGTATGCTCTATGAAAATTGGAGTGAATATTGGAGCCATCTGTCATTACCACAAGGAGATGCAAAAGACCTGCTGGATAGTAAATCTAAAAATATAGGTCTCAAAACAAGAAAGAAAATATAAGAAAATTCATTTAAAAGTTGTTAAAAGCAAAGTCTGACCTTGATCAGCTTCCACCAATTATTATTTTAAAACTAAACATTAGTTGCATGAACTTGGCTGTTGCAACAGAGGTCAGTTAATTAACTGCTAACCATTAAATAACAACAAAAAAGAAAAGTAATTATGTACATGATCAAGTCTGTTTAAATCAGTCAATTGCTGGTTTGTAGATTTGGGTTGAGGTTCGATTTTTCTGTGAATTCGTGTAATAAAAAGTGACTTTTGCAGTATGCTATCTGAAATGCTTATTTCCTTGATTATTGTTAGAAGGTGATTTTGTCTCAGAATCTTTCAAACTAGAATGCGATTTAGCATCTATATAGTCCTAGACTTTTGGAGTTGTAAACTTAAATAGATTATAGTTTCTTACATCCAACATTTTACTCATATACGTCTATTCACAGTGTTCTTTTGTCTTTAAAGTTGATACCGTTCATGAACAGAAAATTGAAAGATTTGCAAAGCCTTTTATGTTTCAGTGGTCATATCTGAATATAATTTTGTTTTAAGAAGTACCTTTTCCCCAATTCTTGGCTTTATTTTTCTTGTCAGGGGTTTTAATAAAGATAGAAAGCTGGGACAGTATTTATTTAACATTTTCCTTGTTGGCTGCTTTTCAGTGACATTGGAGTTAGTCATCAATAGAGGTACTGGCAACACAAATCCAGAATCAGTCACTCCTAACAGACGCTGATGATGCTTGGCACAGAGAAATTCAAGAATTACTTCATATAAAGAAACTATGCTTTTGAAGTTTTTGTATTACACTAGATTAATGGTTCCTATAAAGCCAAGTGTCTCATTTTATAACATTTCAAACAGAAAATGACATGAATAGAAGACTAAGCCATAAAATGTGAAAGTTAGTTTGGTTCCACAACTTATTTCTTTCTACTTTAAAAATGTTAGCAAACAATAGTTTAATAACTAATATGTGAATGATGTATGAGAATATCCCCTAAGATAAACATTTGCCAAATTATATTATAAGCCATAGTTCTAATGTTATTTAGATAATATCTATCCAGCCTGTTTGCTTCCTTAAAATTTGCCTCCAATTGTATCATAATCATTATTGTAAAAAATACATGTGGTTAGGAAAATGTTTTATTTTCAGAGCTCTACACTTTCAGTAAGTGCTCTGAGACAAGAAATTTGATTTTCACAAATGATATTTTATTTTGTGAAGCTTCAATGTAGCTAAAATAAAACAGACAGGCTTTTCCCTACCTGACTTCCTTTACAAACTGCTTTTAACATTTGATAGAGAATTTTAAAATCATTTTTTAGTAGTCCATGCTGCTGTTGTTTTTTGTTTTGTTTGTTTTTGTTGTTTAATCTACTGAATTTCATGGAAGTTGAAGTTGCATGTAAATAAATCAGTGAGACAAATATTAGCCACTCTCTTTTTGCCTCACTTACCTCCCCCTGTCCCCTGGGATGTGACACCCAATATTGATTAAAGTCTTGGCAGGATTTGAAAATAAATCACTCCTCTCTTTGGCGATTTACTACGTGTGATTCACCAGCATACAAAAACATAATGTTCCAGATTGTCTCTCACTTGATGTTTTCCTTCTGGAATGTAAGTAGCATTGGTAAATTAGCTTAATGTGCAACCACGTAGTTGTCATTTAAGAATGCTTTGTGATTTGACTATCAATCAGCATTATTTTGCTCTCTCAAGTTATTTTATTCATTTCCTAGAGTTGCCTTTTC